GTGATCAGGGTGCGCGGGGACGTGGGTGCGCGGTGTATCCAGGTGCACCGTCATCAGGGTGCGCGGTGTATCGGGGTGTGCGGGGACAGGGTGCACGGTGTATCGGGGTGCACAGGGAGGGGGGTGCACGGGGCTGGGGCATGCAGGAACTGGGGTGCGCGGTGTATCGGGGTGCACAGGGATCAGGATGCACGGTGTATCGGGGTGCACGGCACTGGGCATGCAGGAACTGGGGTGCGCGGTGTATCGGGGTGCACAGGGATCAGGATGCACGGTGTATCGGGGTGCACGGCACTGGGCATGCAGGAACTGGGGTGCGCAGTGTATCGGGGTGCGCAGGGATAGGGTGCGCGGTGTGTCAGGGTGAACAGGGATTGGGGTGCAGAGTGAATCGGGGTGCACAGGGACCAGGGTGCACAAGGACTGGGGTATGCAGGAATCCGGGGTGCACAGGGCTCCGCACTGGGAGCGGGGTGCAGGAGGACCGGGGCACGCTGTGTGTCCGGGTGCAGAGGGAGCAAGACGCACAGCAACTGGGGTGCAGGAGAATCTGGGGGTGTACTGGGGCGCACAAGGACTGGGGTGCACCATGTACTGGGGTACAGAGGGAGCAGGGTGTGTGGTGTATCGGGGTTCACGGGAAGGGGGGTGCATGGGGACCAGGGGGCATGGTATTATTGGGGTGCAATGTTTATTGGGGTGCAGAGGATCCTGCAGGAGCCCAGTGCCCCCAGGGGTGCCCTGTGGGACGAGTTTTTCCTCGAGAATCACCTGTTTTTTGGTCAAAGAAGAAAATTCCTGCACTTGAAGCACCTTTAGCACATGGAGGGGTGAAAGGCAGCCGGGCCAGCCCCACCCTGCCCTCCGGGTGCAAAATTTGGGGTCCAGCCCAGCCAAACCCGGTTCCTGAACATCCCCCCTTGGCACAGGGATGGATTTACGCGATGAGTAACCACAGGAAAAAGCCAAACAAGCGTTTGATAAACTCATTTAATATGGGAACCAAATACGCCATTTTGTGATCTGTCCCTCGGAAAAACCTCCCCAGAGAGAGAAAACTGCCAAAAAGCATCGGTTCACACCAAACCCAGCAGCTCCCCCGACCTCGAGAGACAAAAAGGGGGCACCCGTGTCCTGATCTCAGCCCAAATTCCTCTTTTTCCATCCTGTCTGAGGCCAGCAGTCAAAAATAAGAGTGAAAAAAAAAGATTTTATTGCAAGAAAACACACGGTGTTCTCGCCTCCGGTAACAAGGCGGCGTAATTCTCATGACTTGTAGGTACAAGTGGGTTTTGGGGCAGTTTACAACAAGATGGAGGGGGGTGGTGGTTCCCAGAGGTGCAGAGAGGGGGAACGAGACGACACCTTCGTCTTCGGCTCAGAAAGATCTTCAGCATCTCGGGGGTTTATGGATTTTTACCCTCCTTTAAAAAAAAATAACTGCTAAAACTAATACTAAAAAACTAATTCTAAAAAAATCTTCATTTGCCAGAATTTACAAGAGATTCTCCTTCCCACCCCCCCAAATACAGTATGTTTTTTTTGACAAATATTTAATGACTACTTCTTTGAAACAAATCCAAGTGGTTTTTCCCCAAAAAGGTCCAGCCCCAAAAGCGGGGACCTTAAAAAGTTGGCGGGTTTATAGAGGCTGGTGCCCCACTGAGGCGCTGGAGTCCATAAGGCTCCCAAAAGAAGAGGTTATTAGCAAAAAAAAGCTGATGGGAGCAGTAAAAAGAAATTAAAAAGCAAAGCTGAGGTTGGACTGGTGGCATTGTGGTGTTTCAGAGCTGGCAGGACTGTCGGAGTTGGATGGCGTCCTTGTTTCGGTCCAAAAAAACCCAAATCAACATCAAAATCTTGCTGAAACCTGCGAATGAAACGCGGTTTTCTCCTTCCTTCACGCCTGTAGCGCAGAACCTCAGCACGTTTCGTGGGGTCAGAAAACTCCATCAACGCTGAGAGCCAGAAATTAAAAAAAAAAGAAATGTTTTTCTTCTCATAATTAAAACAAACAAGTCTGAATTTGACTTGGCTTTTCTTGTACCTTAGCTGGAATTTCTTGGATCCTGAGGTTGGTCAAATTGTTGGATCTTTCCATGTGACAACTTGCTGGTGGCTGTGTGTAACTCCAGGGGGGCGTTCCAGCCCTCAAACACGGCTGGAGTTTAGTCCTGAGACCAGTTAAGCGGTGATGGCACCGACAGGTGGCACAGAAACAGCAAAAACCTTTTAAAACCAGGATTTATTTCAGCTGAGGAGCCGGAAAGAGAAAACCTGCCTGGTGTTGACGCGTAGTAGTGTTCCGAGAGTGAAATGTTCTAAATATTGTCACGAAACCCGCTGGAGAATTAAAAAAACTCACAAAGCAGCGCTGAAATCAGTCCTTTTCGGAGTAAATCCGCGCGTAAGTCAAGAACTAACGGTGCTGCCGGGTTCATGCGGCCCGAGGAGCACCGTTCCTCCGGGCCTGCGTCCCGCTGGAGACGTCATTCTCCAAAAATCCACAAGATGTTCACTCCCGATAAGCCGAGGTTGACGCGCCTGCAAAGCCAGAAGTTACCACGATAAATCACCAGTGAAAGTGCCATTTTGAGATATTAAATAAACTCGAATCAATTCCGCCCTTCGGCGTTGCAGCGCCCAGGCAGGTGGTGTGTTTTGGCGGTGAATCCAGCGCAGCTCTTTGGGAACGAAGGAGGACGTTGTTTTTATTGCTCACACACATAAAATTTATTCAATTTTATCAAAAAGCTGCTACTGCTTCCAAGGAGAAGACGATTTTAACACCATTAAGATCATCCCGCCACAGCGATTTCAGCCTGAAGCACCGTTTCGAGACAGAACGCTCCGTTCGCATCCCGACGGCATCGGGTACTTACCCCAGCATCCCGGATTCTTTTGCCTTTATGATATACAGGAACATAAGCAAGGTGTGGAACATGTTGTTTCTTCCCTGAATCCACAGAAAGAGAGAAGAACTTGGAAACCGAGTCACTGACAAGAAACCACCGCAGTATTTCGGGTAGAATAAGTGGCTTTGGAGAGAGACACCATGAAATGGCATCCCGGGGTAGGCTGTCGGGCTTTTTCCCTTAATTCTTTATTTCCTTCGATTAGATAAATACCAGAAAAAGACCAAACATGGGTTTTGGCTGGGTTATCATCTCCAAATAGTTGAAATGCCAGAGTTTTTTGGAAAGCAGAGATCCAGCAACAACCAGGGATCAATATAAAGTTAAAATTCACACGAGAATTTTGCTGGTTTGAGACTGGAAGTTTCCCCTCAGAATTATCATGGAATCACAGAACGGTTTGGGTTGGAAGGGACCTCAAAGACCATCCAGTTCCAACCCCCCTGCCATGGGCAGGGACACCCTCCACTACACCAGGTTGCCCAAAGCCTCATCCAACCTGGCCTTGAACACTTCCAGGGATGGGGCAGCCACAGCTTCTCTGGGCAACCTGTGCCAGTGCCTCAGCACCCTCAGAGGGAAGAATTTCTTCCTTGGATCCCATTGGAATCTCCCCTCTTTCAGTTTAAAGCCATTACCCTTTGTCTTATCACGACAAGCCCTTGTAAAAAGTCCCTCTCCAGCTTTTCTTACGGCCAAGCAGGCAGTGTGCTGGCCCTTAAGGGGTGACAAAACCCATCAGGGATTACATGACCCGATATTTTAAAATAAATGGTCAGAAAACAAAAAAGAGGAAGCTACTACCAAGGTACTCTACGTACCCTAAATAGATACTAAAGCTATTATTTAGTAGCAGACCAAGTATCACGTCATGGTCAAAGACCAAGCTAATGTTTACTTCCTGCACCGGGCCAGTCGACAGGTAAACAGTCACTAAATGTGGCTCGTTCCTAAAAAAAAATCAACTCCCACATCAGAGCTGCCCATGACGTCCCGGTAGCAGGAGAACACCAGCGTACCTTGGGCAGGTTGTAGTCTTGGCACTGGTAGATCAGCTCGTAGTGGGGCGGATTGATGCTGCTTTGGTAGATGCAAAATCTCTTTACGTTCGAAGTGTCTGCGAACAAAAAGTTCCAAAGACAAAAGGGGATTTCACGGGTGCTGATGTGATCCACGAGGCAAAGAGCAGCTCCAGGTGCGTGCCAGTACCTGGTTTATCCGGTGTCTGAACGAAGTGTTGGGAAGTGAAGGTTTTGCCGTCGGGATACCTGGGGTGAGGCGGCAGCCTGGAGTCGAGGTACGTGCAGAACACGTGCATAATGATCTGGGCAAAGAGAAACAAAACTCCCTTCAGCGGCCTTAAAAACCCAGCGGCTTTCCTGCCATCATCTCAGGCACCAGTACAGCATCTGACGGTCTGGCGCTGCAACGCTGACTTAACCCCTCTCAGCCCAGCAAGCCAACCGTGTCCTGGGCTGCACCCAGAGCAGCGTGGGCAGCAGGTCAGGGGGGGGATTCTGCCCCTCTGCTCTGCTCTCCTGAGACCCCTCTGCAGTGCTGCCTTCAGCTCTGGCGTCCCCAGCACAAGAAGGACATGGAGCTGCTGGAGCGGGTCCAGAGGAGGGCCATGAAGATGATCCGAGGGCTGGGACACCTCTGCTAGGAAGGCAGGC